AGGCCTGTAAGCACCCACGCCAGTACCGCTTTTCTGCCGCATAAGTGCATTTTCTACGGAACTGCTTAAAAGTTTTTTAAAAATAATCAGCGTTTTGGAAAGAGAAATATATTCTCCAGATGGTTTATTTCAGCACGTTTTGCGTTATTGTAGGCCGTTTAATTACAAATGACGCTTGATTTTTAACTTGAAAATTTTTTTGTTAAAAAAATTGACTTTAGTGGTGTTTTTCATAGCCTAAGCCAATTATTTTTTAATATTTCTTCATGGTTTATTATTCTATGACTATTCAGCTTTAATAAAAGACCAACTATGAGGAAATTAAGCCAAATGCTGATTCTCAGTGACCAAAAAACTAACTAAAGTCAAGTCGTCAATCCGCCATGTTTGGACGCCATTTTGGGGCAGTGCGTTCACTTTTTTTTGTGGGAACATTGGCTTTTTTTTAATAAATAGTCACAAGGAACACAACGATATGCAATTTATAGGGATGTGGGGGAGGGTGCACGGTAAGGGGGTCTGGCCCACCGTGTATAAGCGATTTCTTCAGAAACTTAGTTTTATCCGAACCGTTAACAGATTTTGAGCTACACACCCGGAAAAAAGATGACATTTTCGAAAAAGATCACTTTGCCTCACATTTTGCATCAAACATTCCTTCGAATGTATCGTCTAAGCTATTCATCTGAGAAAGAAATTCATTTGAAAGAAGTTATAGAGACTTAAATTTCATATTAGAATATATATATGTCAATTAATCCCCTACCTGTCTACATTTACAGCTATTTTAAAAGGTTTTGTAAAATGTTCTCGTTTTCAAAAGATTTTTTTAAATCATATTCTTAACACTCAACTTTTGTTCGTTTGTCTAATAATATGTGTGGCCATACTAAAAAAAAAAAACATGATACTTCAAAAATTTAATATTGTATTTTACGGATAATAAAAGTCTCATGATAATCTTATTTTATTTTGTTAGATTAAATACATACGATTATAAACCTCATTGTTATCACTTTTCTCAATAACTTCTTGATATGACACTTACAACTTTAGATGGATTCAATTTTTCATGCACTTTGGATGTGCGGATCTTGGCCTGGGCTTTATTTCTTATATTGCTTGATTTTAAACATTTGTTTCAATGAATCGAATAAATTGTCGATTTGAAAATACCAGTATTTATATTGCCTTGGCGAGGGTTGTTCCATGACCTCTTCACCCTCAGCAGTGGTACAGGATGGGCCATACCTCCCTACCGTGCACTCTCCCCACATCCCTATAAATTTCATGTCGTTGTGTTCCTTACAACTATTTATTTAAATAAAATGGTGGCACAAATACAAGTGAACGCACTGTCTCAAAAAGGCGTCCAACATGGCGAATTGACGACTTTGAGTTTAGTTAGTTTTGCGGTCACTGAAATTCAGCATTTGGTTTAATTTCGTCATAATTGGCATTTTATTAAAGCTGAAGAGTCAGATAATACTGAGTCTTATCAAACTATAAATTATGAAAAAATAATTGGTTAAGGCAATATAAATACTGGTAAAGTCAATTCGATTCGTTGAAACTAATATTGAAAATCAAGCATTGTAAGAAATACGATCCTTGCCAAGATCTGCACATCCTAGGTGGATGAAAACGTGAATCCATCTATAGTTGTGACTGTTATATTAAGAAGTTATTGAGAAAATTAATAACAATTAGGTTTATAATTGTATGTATTTAATTTCACTTTTATTATCCGTAACATACAATATTAAATTTTTTATTTTACATGATTAATAATTGGATTTAAAGTGTGGCCACATACTATTAGACAAAAGAACAAAAGTTTTGGGTCAAGAATATGATTACAATTTTTTTTTTTTTCTGAAATTGAGAATATTTTACGATAAATTTTAAAATGGCTGTAACTGTAGACTGGTCGGAGAGTAATTTGCATTTGTATATATATTCTATTGGAAAATTTAAGTCTCTAGAACTTCTTTTAAATGAATTTCTTTCTTAGATGAATAGCTTAGACAATATGAATGAATGTTTGATGAAATATGTGAGTCAAAGTGATTTTTTTCCAAAATGTCATATTTTTCTTAGCGTGTAGTTCGAAAACTTTTAACGGTTCGGATAAAACTTACAGAACAAAAGTTTTAGATAATTTTATAAAATTTAATTTATTATACGAAAATTTCTCCTGCAATGCACCGTTTAAGCGAAAATTAAAAAAATTGTAACCTTCTTTCCCCTCCTCCCTCTCCGGCTCATCACCTAGACGTCAGGACTTTTGATATGTTCATACCCAAAGATTCCTCAACAACTTTCTGAAGGAACCGTTTAGGTTCTACACTCCATTTTGGGGCATTCATTTTTATATATTTAGTCAATTAATTGTCCATGAAAAACATGAGGAATTCTGACAGTATATTTTATAGCTGTAATAGACACCCATTGCAGTGCAAGTTGATGCCCTTAGCTGAATAGTAAGCGGAGTTAGACTCCAGACAGAGGAGATGAGGACGAATGAGCGATGCCCGGAGCCTTGATGTCCGAGGCCGTGGAACAGGAAGGTGGCTCAGCGGAAGATGCGAAAAGATGAATAAAATAGGCCAATGGGATTTTTTTTTCAGCTATATTCAGTATGGAAGAACAGAAATTTATCCAAAAACATGTAAATCGGTTCTGCTTTATTGCAGCGAAACATGGAAAGTGGCCGAAAGCATCGCCCGCCCGCTATAAACTCGTTAACAGGACGTCTTCTTAAAATAATGGAGATTTGGTGGTCAGAGCGCCTATCAAATGAAGGACTGTCGAAAGCTACCAATTCATTTAGAGATTAAGAAGCGAAAATGGAAATGGGTCGTGCTCACACTGATGAAAAGAGACGAGGCAATAAAAAAAAATAACACTACAATGGAACTCTCATGGAAACAGAAGGAATGACAGACCATGAGATATATGGTGCAGGTCTGGATGGAGAAAGGATTGCTGCTAATCAGAGGTGCCCACCCCCATCAACGTCGATAGCACAAGAACCTATACCTCCACTCCTAGATATTTTATTGCTCACCTTTTCTTAAAAATAGAGCAAGCGAAGGTATAATTAAAAACCGTAGATCATATACAATTGCATGTTGCGTTTATACGGGTCCGGTATAAGAACAGTTATGCGTTCGTGAAAATGATCGAATCTGAGTTTTCAACGGACATTGGGTAAATGCAGCAGTTTTTTTTTTTAACTTTTAGGTGTAAAAAATTAAATATTGTATTTTTCTTTGATTCATTTTATAGAACTACTTCTCACTGTACCAAGACACATTTCAAATCCATGAAATATCCACTTAAATTTTAAAATAAAAATAATAATAATTTGGATGAACAATTTTATAGTACCAGTAGCTGAAACTGATTTTGAATGTTCCTTTAACTGACAGGGATGAGAACAAGGATGTAATTATACAAAAAAAAGTATTGAAATTTTATATTCTTTATTTTAAGATAGATATCAACAAAAATTATCTTCAACTATTACGAAAACTGAAGTCTTGCGTTTCCCTACTTAAATTTATCGTTAAATGCTAGTCACTTTTTTTTTTTTTTTTTTTTTTTTGTATCGAGAGAATGTTGAACGGTCCTATTTTTAAGACCCGTTATGTTCAGTATATGTTTAGGAAACTTTCCAAATTTTAATTAAACATTCAAATTATTGGCAACATTCTACTTATTTATGCAGCGGATTGTATTTTAATGAATTGGTAGGTTATACGAATTGTGCAAAAACAACTTACCATTTGCATGCTGCCTTAAACATCCTATGGTTACCTGAGGGAGCCCTCGTGCTGGTGTTGACTCCGTGGATATTTGGGCTGGAATGCGGTAGTCGTACCGAGAGCTGGTACGGCTTAAATTTTATCTTTTAAATCTGATCTACCTGATCGCCGCCAGGAGAATTGGGAACTATCCTTGCACAAGAACATCTCTTTAAGTATATCTCTTTAAATTCATGAGAAAACCGAACTCTCAGCTACTGGCATACGACCTTATTATAATGCTCCAGTTGCTGACATCCATTTAATTTCCGATTCCTTCATCAACATAAGTTAAAAACAGATAAAACATAATCTTAAAACACTAAAAGAAAAAAAAATTTTGGGCTAAATCAAAATAGTTAAAGTGTTAAAAGAGAAAATAGTTAAGGTATGCTTAAGGTGTTGTGCTTACTGATAGATAGTTGTTCCTGGGACACTAAGTTGACCGTGAGGGACCTTCCTACTGTTCCTTTAAATATTTCGGTAACGGTTTCCGGCTAGATTAAAGCAAAGCAGACAAATATCCAAACCAGGAATTTATGAAATAAAGTTCTAGGAGATACTGAAACCTTATTATTCCAATTTTTCTAGGAGGATGTCAGGTATTGGTACACTGTCAGCTGCTGGTGCTTTTATTCTACATGTTTTGAGATCCCCTGAGTATAAATAACCAAGTTGCCCAAAATGGTCTGTGTGTGTGTGTGTGTGTGTTGTGTGTTGTGTGTGTGTGTGTGTGTGTGTGTGTGTGTGCGCGCATAAAATATGAATAATAAGGTTTCAGTATCTCCTAGAACTTTATTTCAAAAGTTCTTGGTTTGGTTATTTTCTCCTTGTATATTTGTCTGCGTTGCTTTAGTCTAGCCAGAAACCGTAACCGAAATAAAATAAAAAGGTAAATATTAACACACACACACACATATTTGTATTTATAAATCATCTAATTTACCACAAAAGTGTGCAATTCACAGCAAAAATCAAAATCGAGCTATTTTTGCCAAAAATGGCAAAACGTGCAAAATAAAATTAAAATATATGATTCTACAGATCCTGAAACGAATATTTATTCGGGTCCGGTATTTTTGCACTCAAGTGAATAAAATGTGCATTAATATGGAACTCCAGTCTCTACTTATAACTTTACTGCGTGTAATATAACTTTTGTGAAATTTACAGGTGTTGAGCTTTCTGGTGAATAGAACCTCAAAATTCATCTATTTGTGCTCAAATTGCATCCGGTCTGGACAGAAAGACTTGACGATCCTAGTTCTGCTCGGTAAAGACTATCATTTAAGACTCAGTAGCTTTACATTGAATCATTGTATAAATGTATCATTGACTCCTAGTCTAGTAGTTGACAGGTTGCTAACTAAACATATACAGAGTAATTGGCGCTCAATTCTCAATATTTGCTAACATTGAGAAATACAAGTAGTTTCTATTTATTTCGAATAATTCTTGTTTCCCTTACTACATTTACTCATAAGTATACGTTTTATGTAATATTTCACAAAAATATCATCTATTGATATTTTGGCTTGAGTGCTGCTAGATTGCTTAAGTCATCCCACTGTGCATTGCGGCACCAGTGCCGTGTAATCGTGCTTTAAAGATTTAAGTGGAACGGTTAATAATCGATGGACGAATGAAAAGGAAGGGGTCCTAAAAATGAGGGTTCAGTACTGAACAGCTTCCCTTAAAAGGATGACTTCGCCTATCCCAAATAATGATTAGTACCTTTGTGCGATATATAGGTTGTAATCCTTGAACCTCCATCTTTTAAACTAACTTCTTTCCCGCTGAACCAGAGCGCGGTTGTATCGGCGTCTTTAGTTGGAGCCTGCGCTCGTAGTGTGGCCGTATTTAACCACTTTCTCTCACTTGTGTTTACTTTCAATTGATATTTAAGAATCTTTATTTTCGTAAAACTGTTAAAGAAATGTAGTTGACAAATCTTTTTAAAAGTATAATGTAATTTATACTTTTATTTTCTTGCTGATTAGTTCTCATTCCTTCATCCTCCAGTGATCCACATTGGATATATCATATGTGATAGTGAAGCTTAAGTGAAATTTTTCCCTTTTGGGGATTTTCTTTTGGTGGACTGATTTGGTGTTTGTCCAAAGGAACATAACTACTCTCTGGATTGAAGAAGATGAACAAAGGGTAAGTTCATTGTTTTTAATCTTTCAATAGTGAAGGCTGATAAAGCTGTCATAGTTGTTTTGAAATATATTTTCTGTTAGTGAATCAGAAAATTGATTTAACTTTGTACCCTTAGCACCTTAAAGATTGCTGGAACACTTCCTAATTAATATCTAAATAATGATTTATAATGAGAACAAATATTCAAATTATTGAGAAACTAGGAGATTGTTATATTTGTTTCATTGAGTAGTTAAAGTATTTGTTGTATGATATATATGTATGATTGTAAATATCATGAGGATTAATAAGGATTTAGTTGAATTCTTTCACAATTGATTAATTTTTATATTATTTAAATTTAGCTATTGTATTTAATTTTCGCAGATTTTACTGCTCCCTCGATAGATATCTGATGAAAATTAAGTATTGGTTAGTGTTGTGTTTTGTTGAAATTAAATTTATCTAGTTTATTTTAAGCCAAGATATATGGTTATTTATTAATTTGAATAAGTTTTATTTCCTCTCCAGAATAATTTATAATTGTTTTTAAACTTGATAAGCAAGTACTATTTCACAGTTTGCTTTAATATTAATGTGTCAAACTTAAAAAGTATATCTTGATATTGAAGTAATTTTAAAAAACTTGTTGAAATTAACTGTAGTAGAAACAGTTTTTTTTTTAGATTTTACAATTGTAGTAATGCTTAATTAGTTCCCCTATTATAGTGAAACTAATCCAGTGCTTGTATGAGGATTTTAAAATGTAATCGCAAATAGTTACTGTTGTTTGAATGTATATGGTAACAGTAATCTATTATTTTCTCAATGTTATGGCTTTAAAGTAACTTCTCAGATTCGTTACTGGTTACAAGCCTATGATGCAAGTTTTTGTTTTACAGTGGATAGCAATGTAAATTGTAAAGTATAAGACCACTGATATGAAAATTGTGTCAGTATCTTAATTTTTTCCACAGTTCATTAATTATTGATTGCACTCATTATCAAGAATCGTAGTTCTAATGTTTTTTATGTTCATTAGTGGTAAATATTGTTTTATATTTTTGATATTTGTTCACAAGTGTCATCATTTAGGTTTAAGTGGGTCCAGATTGCATTGACCAAACTATAACTCACAAAGAAAGTATGAAAGATGTTTGAAAGGGTCTCTCTTTACTCCCACTAGGCAAGACACCAGTCTCAACTTAAAAGAACTTTTTGGGATTCTGATTATTCTTTGATTATACTTGTGAACATGATTGTCACACTGCTTTCAGAATTCTATCTACAGTGATATATATGACACCTGCGAAGTACTACCGTATTATTTAATAAATAATATGAAATAAAATAAGTTTTGTTTTTCATGATTACATCGATTATTCCTGATTTTTGTTTAATAACTTTCCTACTGGACTATGGTTACCTCACTTTTAGGAAAATGTACTTGCTTTATAAGATCTAAGGCCCTATTAATTAAATTGAGTTAAGATTCATCTCCAATTGTGTTAAGATTGTAATTCGTTATTCTCTCACACCAAGATACGTGTGTTTTCAGTAAAAATAACACCAATAAATTGTTACAAACCTTTAATTTTATTTTATTGTTTACTAGCTATATATTTTAAGATGTGTTATAAGAAAATAATTATAAAAATAGACTTTTTATTAATAAAAAATACTACTTTTTCTCAAAGTTTCACCATCAAGAGGAATAATAAATCAGTGCTCAGTACACAGATCTCTATAATGGAAAAAGATCCTTATTGTATTAAGTGATCAAGTAATTGTCCCTAATCCTGATATTTACATTTTTATAAAAGCAAATTCAAGCAATTGCAGGGTTTCCAAATTCACCTTTCATACCAACTTGACATCAATATCAATTCAAGGTAATACCTCATTTTTGTTATGGGTTCAGTAATGTAAGGAAGTACAGTTACAAGACCAGTGGTTGTGCAGGGAGGTGACGGGCCAATATCACGCTCAACCGCTGGGTTTTTCTCCTTAATTAATTATTTAATTAAGAGTACCCACTGTATAGAGGCTGGGTTTGCCCCAGGAAGGTCTCCTGGTCCCAGGGTCGGCCGACGGCTGATGAAAAATTACTAGTCATCAGCCGGATTCGAACCTGTGACCTTAAGCTTTGTAAGTCAGTGTTCATCCACTGATCTACTCCGCTCCCCTATTTCCATGATAACATAAATATTAGGAATAACATTAAAATTTATTTGGTAACAATACTATGAAGATCAATTTCCATAATAGTGATTTGTGTAAAAACACTGTTTTTTTTTTACTTTAGATGGTAAATTTTTGAAAATGAAGTATTTTTTAGAAATAAAATGTTTAAAGTTTATTTAAACAAGGAAGAACAAGGAAATTTTTCTAAAAGTGGAGGAAATAGTATAGTTGGAGAGTGATATAAAAAAAAAACTTAATAATCTATGATTTTATGAAAAACAAAACTTTGTATAGTTTAGTCGCTTAAAAGTCCCCTTTAAACAGTTTTAGGAAAAACAATTTCTACTTATATTTTAAGTAAATTTTTTCCAGCTAAAAAAGGAGTCTTACAAAACACTTTTTATTTATTTATTTTTCTCTTATGCCAGTCATTGGTCATTTGGCCATCCGACATCTTGCTGCCCAGTATAATTTAGACTTTCTAATATATATATATTTGAAAATATGTTTTCTCTTATGTTCCTCAAGGCAGGACATGCGTCTAGATAGTCTGCATCCATTATTCCTTGATGACACAATTTACAGCTAGGATCCTCAGCCACGCCTATCGTATAGAGATGACTCTGCAGATAGGCATGACCAGTGGCTAGGCGGAAGCAGGCAACTGCATCTCTTCTCGACAGTTCAGCTGGAATCGGATTATCCTTAAAACACTCATAAAGTTTCCCTTCCACTTTGCCCAAATGTGCTTTTCTTATTTCTTCCTTCACAACCATCTTTACCATTCGCCATATTGAGTCGTAAGGTTTTGGATGTATCGGCTGAGGCAAATCTGTTCCTCGCTTGGCAAGACTATCAGCCTCAATGCTTCCCGGAATCCCTCAATAGCTGGGGATCCACTCTAGGACCACATAAGTTACTGACTATCACTATCCACTTACAAAACAGATAAGTTTAATAATTTGTTTTCTTGCACAAAATTGGTTCAACAAATTTTTTTTAGTTTTTGTGGTCTCTTGTTACCTATCAATATATTTTTCTCTTTTTACGGGACACCCATGTATGCATACATTAATAAATCAGTAGTATAGGTCCTTACTCCGAAAGATGTAAGTTGGTGGATTGAGAAAGTTGCGTTTTAAATATTTCGATGGTAGGACCACCCCAATTCTAGCTATGGCCTCCTATCATATACATATCATGTATCGTTTAGGTTTTAAAACATTAAAATATAAGTTTCTATTGTAGTCTTCGGTATATTTAAAGTTGATTGAAAGAGAAAATAAAGGAGAATAGCCCTGAGATCACTTGGGCATCCTGGATAATATAGAAACTTTTATTAAAAATAAATACGTTTAGTGGGCATATTTTGATTTTCTTGGTTGTTAATATCGCCTTGGAGGTGATCAAGTGAAAGAACTACAGACCGATGGCCCTTCTCTTTTGCACCAATCCGTAGTTCTAGATGAATAACAATAAAGTAGATTCCATTTGAGAAAAATTTGCGGGTGGGAAGAGGAGGAGAGAAGTGAGCAGTAGCAAAATGTTTTCCTGCCAATCACCCACCTTTTTGTCTTCTCTGTACTCATCTGTATGTACAATTTCTTTTTTACAAACAGTAATTTCTTTTTACTTTTTTTTCCATTTCTCTTACAAAATTAGAATTTAGAAGAAAAATTAACATTAAAAAAACCTGTTGTTGATTACGTGTAGTAGTCAGTCATAACATTTCCATACCATAGAAATGATTTTTAAAAATGGCCTGTTGTCACTTTCATTTAGTCCAGTTAGTTCGAAGTCATATGGATGGTGTTGCAAATTTCATTTAGTAAACCTCTGGATGCTGGACATTCATGGTGACTTATGAATATAGTTTTATTTTGAATGATACAAATGTATTTACATGCATTTGGATTTTTAAAAACATAATGTATACTAAAGAAATGT